CTACGCTCGAATGCGGCAATCCCTTTTCCAGGGCTTTGCTGCACGTGCTGGTGGTATGGCGTTACCACCACCAACACACAGCCCACGAATGCCCCCCTAGGGTACGTCACTGCAACGGTGCAACGGTGCAACGGTGCAACGGCGCAATGAGACCGACATCGCAGCGGAGCGTGCATTATCGCGTCCGACGTGTCCGACGCGACCTGGAGAACCGCCTTCTCCTGCGCGATCCTCTTCGGGGAATAACATTTCCCCGACGCTACCTGTAGTAACACGACTTCGCTTGCTCGCGGATCCTCTCAGTGCGAACCACGGCTCTCCGTTGGCGTACTCTACCACATTTCCGAAACGACGCAATACATGCCAGACGGCCGGTGGCAATCACCAGACGGCCCTTTACATGGCACCTTAATACACATCGTATCTTCTTGCACTAGTTTTTGTCGCTTTTTTGCGATGATACGCTGCGCGCTGGGAAGGCGCAAAAATGGAACAAGTTTATTCCGAATGGCAGAACAGATATTTTTAACCAGAACTTAAGAGCTTAAGAATGAAATTCGCGAAAATCGTTTTATTTCTGAATTCCGTCTTTTAAATCTCATAGCACTGAACAAGACTTTGACGTTTAAAGTTAGTTAGTTCCTCCTGCTTTTATCCATTCTTACGTCTTCATCAGATTTCGCGAAATTTGGCTTTATGATTGTCATAGCAAATAAAACTGTATTATTTCAAGCTTGAGGAAAATTGTTTTAAGATTTAAAATAATAAAATACGAATTGATTCAAAAGGATACATCTAGAAAATATGAGACATAAATTAATACTTTTTTGCATTTTTTTTTACCGTCACACTTTTGATTTTATTCTTAAATATATTATTATTTTAATTATACGTATGTTAATTTTTATTTTATCAAATTTTTAATTGGTTCACTTTTTTTTTTTTTTTAAGAGATAACAGCTTTTCTGAGATTGATCTTAGTGCAACTATTATTTCGCATTTTTCTCTTTAGCAAGATAAAATCTTTAATTACAAGCCGCTTTTAAACTTTTCTGACATGCTCACTTTTAATCGTGATTTCTAACTAATTGTGCCAAGAAAAATTCAATAAATGTTCCGATATTCACTTCAGAGATGCTTAATTCTCTCATTAAAATCATTTGACAGACAAGATCATATTAATAGAATATCTCGTAAACTTTCTAATGACGTCCGTTTGATGAATATAGATGGATCGGATGCGAGTCTGGAGAGAGAGCACATGCGGTTACTTTTGCAAACGCGTCACTCGTAAGAACATGGCGATGACGGGGTCGAAGAAGCGATTCCCTTTGTCCTAACCGGCGAACTAACCGCTCAAAAGGTTTATCGGAGCATGACCGAGAAACTCCATTGAAATGCAATTTAACGAGATGGAACGGTGGGGAAGGCTATCTAGAAGGGCGATTATAGCGAAAACGACAAATGCGCGGTCGTCGAATAAGGTACCTCTTCCGACCGGATCAATCGTTTCGAACATAATATCAAAGATGGAATTTAATTGCGAATGAACATAGATATAAAGATGAATTTGTTACTTAGATATGCGACTAATTTGTTATTCGAGCAAAAGGAATAAAAGGGTAGCTTCTTACTCTTCGTAGTTAATTATAAGTATCCATAACGAATTTCGTCTGTTACAATTTTTAATAATTTCTTGAGTGTAATGTATCTAAAGATCTAAAGATCAGCGTGGAATACATGTACATATACTCTCCTGTGAAGGATTATCGATTACTACGAGCACGCAAACACAGCGTATAACGATTACACAGGCATACAAAAAATTTTTTGTTCCAAAGATCAGACCATAGTATTCTTATGTATTTTGATGCTTTCAAACCAATGTTCAAATTACTTCATCATATTACAATTTTTTTAAATTATAAATAGCGCGATTTTCTAGTATTTTTAATCTACCAACTTGCATATTAATTTTAAGCTTGCATATTATCATCGTTGAAAACTTATTTTCTCTTTTTTTACCTCAGCTTGCATAAAACCAAGCTATAAATGGCTCTAAAAAATACTGAAAAATTGAACTATTCTCAATGAATAAAAAATTGTGATGTGAAGCAATTTGGACATTTGATTTCGGAGCATCAAAATACATAAGAATACTATGATCTAAGCTGCGATTCAAACATTCTGATTCAGAAATTCTATTTTGTGTATTATTAAATAAACGTTTCACAATTTACACAATAAGAGAGAATTATCCGTTATATATCATTCGATACACATTATTGACAAAAATTACGATACAAGCAACTGATGTTTTCGATTTGCCGTTCCGAATACATCAAGGCTAATCTGCGATTAGCAAAATGACGGACTACCGCGACTATGTGCTCTCTGATCACGGATATCGATCAATTATTGCAATAGTACTCGCCCTACATTCGAGTCTTGTCACGCGAACAGTCTCTTCGATCCTTCCTGCCGAACGTAATCACGTTAAAACAACATACGAGCTGCGTTTCGCGAGTTCGGAAAAATCGCATTTATGGCCGATGCCTTTAGGACCCGTCTGTTTCGGACCCGTCTGTTTCGGACGATCGTAAAAAGCTTCTGATGCGAACGATTTTTCAAACGACTCTTTCTTCCCCCCCCCCTCTCTCTCTCTCTCTCTCAGTACAGTATTTTATGACATTTGATCCATCGTTACAATCACCTACCGAAAAACTATATTTGTATTCTCTCGGAAGTGGATGTATGCACTCTAAAAAATATCGATGTGGATTTAACACCATGCTGTGTTAGTGTTAATATCAACATGATGTGGATTTAACACCATGGATTTTAAATCCACATCGATATTTTTTTAGAGCGTAGAAGCATTGCGTCACCAAAATTGTACGATTGAGCAATACGCTCTCTCACGTCATTTAGTTTAAGTTACTACGCCATAAGGCGCAATCGTACGATTAATATTTTATCATAAGGAATTAGTGAATTTCAAAATGTTAATGCATTGCTCACCGCAAATGTGAATATGTAACATCTATGTAAATTGCTTCCGCAAAGCTATTAAAATTTAATAAAGAGATATCGAACGGGCCACAGATGTCCCAAGCTCTAAACGCTCAATGGGGATCCGTTAATACGGCAATAAGCAGCACGTTAAAGACTCGAGGTTCAGGGATAGTGTTTCGTTCGTGCTACTCCCAAAAGCGAGAAAGGACTGTTTCAATTAATAGCGCGATTCGACGATAGAAATAATCGAACGAGGACCAATTAAGGATACGATCTGAAGCCAGCGCACGAATGGGGCGCGCGTTCATTTCACTTTTATTCCCAGCTCGTCAGTATTCGCTCGTTTCCACGACTCGTCTCTATTGTACCGAATGAACCGCAGAACCGATTAGCCCGTGGATACGTAAATTGCGTCCACGATAAAAGCGGCTTGTGAATAGGATGGGGCGCCTTTCAGTAGCCGAGTAGGCGCATTGGTTGGTCCGTGCAGGTATCCATACTATTAGCACTCAGTACCTCACCGCCAATCTACGATGAAGGTTCTGGATAACGGATATGTCGGCGCGTGTTAATAAAACTGAATTATTAAAAAATATTAAATAAAATTTTATTTGACAGTAAAACTTTTGCGATGAACTTTTCGTTACTGTTTGCCAAATCGTTCGATTGGCAAACAGTTCTTCGATTTGATTAAAAACTTAATTGTTACGTTTCTCACGTATTCTCGACGTTTTAACTTTCAAAAGCAAAAAATACTGATTGCTTAAAAACTTAAAACAGTTTTTTTTATTTTTAAATCTTGTGAACAATTTATCGTATGAAAAATTACTTTATGTACAATGAAATTTTTCACAGAAAAATTTGAGACGAGCAAAATAACGAAAATAAGTTGATTTAAATTCTAAAAAAAAGTTGTACCGATATATTGTCTGATTAGATATTGATTTAATCACTTACATAAATGTTCGAAAGGTCACGGCAGGTCATCTAACCAATAATTTATTACACAAGCTGTTTTAATATATTTATATATGAATGCTCAATTTTAGTAGAAGTTACTTATTTGACATACAAATAAAATAGACTTTCCAAATTAGATTTGTCAAACACATTTCTGTTGAGAATTAATAAACTTATAACTAGAGAGTGTGTTGTGTAGGAACTTTAATATTTATGTTTGATTAATTTACGTTATGAGTATATTATAAATTAATATTTGTCATGTATTCAAAAGCAATACATAGTAAAAATCACTTTATATTCATGTTAAAATCAATCCACTTAAATCTTTATTAAAATTTTGTGATTTGTTAATATATAGCGTTAATTTGACATAATTTAATTTTGTTACTTGAACATTTTGTATTTAATTGAGATATTCAACATTTCTTAATATTAGAGTGGACCAGTTTTAACACTAATATAAAATAATTGTTATTGTGTATTGCTTTTGAATACACAATTTATGAGTAAGTAAATACTAATATTAAAATAATGTATTTTAAAACGTAAATAAATTCTAAACTAAATGAAGAAAATACGTATTAATTTAACATATCGTAAATGTTAACTGAAAAAATATGCTTCCACAATTTGCTTAGAAATTGTGTCACATTTCAATGTTACATTTCTCATGTTAATTTTTTTTATATAATATCTGTGTTACTTTCTAACATATTTCTCTTGTGTTAAATTAATAAAATAAACAAAAATGTGAGTGAACTATTTGGAATATATGAAATGTATTACATTTAACAAATTTCCCAACTGTGTAGTATATATATTATATCTATACACATAGCGCGTATATATATTATATCTATAAACAAAGAGCGAAATGCAGCATCTTCATACATTGAGAATATCGTAGTAAGGGATATTTGAGAATTGTCCGCACAGGACCGGTGTCTCAGGTGTCTTTACTAATTCAGCAAACAGTTGCGGAATACATTTAATAATATGTCCCGCTCGATCTCCTGTTTCAGATATGATCGGGAGAGAGACCATCTCTATGGTATTACATGGTACAAGGACCACGAGGTATTCTACAAATACGTACTCCGAGATAAAAATCCCCACGTCTATGACGTCAATGGTGTTAAAGTTGACGTGAGTAAGATGCCCTCTCATGTCCTCCCATTGTAATTCAGCGTTATTGTTTTTCAATTTTTGTTAAATATTTTACCGAATACCAGATTTTTTTTTTTTTTATAAAGAGCACTTCACTTATAAAATAACTATTAAATTGTATGTCTTTATTAATTTTTATATATGTAAAAACGAAATTGAGATATCGGCAAATGTGACAATTGTGCATGAAAGCATAGTTGTAGACAAAGAATATATGTAATCCCCAAAATGTGAAATATTTTAACAGCAATGGATTAGTTTAAACCTAGATTTACGTTCACGTCTGTTTCGATAAATCATTCAATAAAACTCGAATTCGATGGCAGACGTAGGCAAATAAATCGAATTGAAGACCGCCACATCGCGGCTATACGTCATGGACGATGAATTTTGAGACAAATCTCGAAATCTATCGCAAGTACCCGATAAATTTTTCGAAGACGACCTCCTGCAGATATGTCTTAAACGTCGATATATCCGGGATGCCGGGTAACAGGTTGGAGAGCCTCCGGGTCAAACAAAGTGGAGCTTTCGACCTGATCTACGATACCAATTTCATGGAAAAATCTTCGATTCGCTTGAGCATACGTAGTGAAAGAAGGAAACGAAAGATTTGCTCTAACGCAGGTTATAGAAATCGGAGCGGCGGGAAAACTATCGGTTCTCTCGCAAACGAAACCGCGAACGATGAGCAAACTTCGTTTCAAAAATATTTGTCTCGTCGCTCGATAAACGAAAACGGTCTTCCCAAGAAGGAGTTTAACGCGCAAGCTTTACCAGCTGCGTTGTCGCCAGCAATAAAAACATTTGTTCGTCAAAGAAAAATATTGTTTGCCGTATAATCCACAAAGAGTCTGAGATTAAGAATCGGAGTCTACGTCTTCGTAAACTTTGACGACGTACAATGACATGTAAAATTATTATATTGTTGAAAAATTTTTTTTATTAATTCTCAAATTGTCAAGAATAGGAGATGCTTACTTTTATTATTTCTACATATATATTTTTCAAAGAAAGAAAGAGAATTTATAAAGTATTTTTATAAAGATATATAATATATCTGATATGATACAATATAATAATAATTTTTTATATAAGTTGAGATTTTATATTTTCTTCTTGAGATAATATTAAAAAGAATTATTAATTTTTTCTCTCTCTCTCTCTCTCTCTTTCTATTACCATCGAAGTCATGCACAATCATGTAGGAGATAATTTAAACAAAAATCACCAAAAGTCCCATCATATGTTTATCAATCCTTTGTCCTGTTTTATATAGACTTGGCAAAAAATGGACCTAGGTATACCTACTATCAGGACCCGATGTGGTTCCGTATATACGTGTGCAAGGGAATGTGCATCGTATATCATAGACCGCCATTGTGCTCAACAACGTACGCGGGAGCTCTCAAGTTTTACGGCTTTCCACAAAGATTTAGCGGCGCCAATCTACTCTTTATATTACGGAGTAGATGAGGCTGAATTCGGAGATCTTTGCGAAAAGAGATTGCATGAAGGCGATGTATCCCGCGCTGTCGTGACGCAATGGATATAGGTCGCGATACGTTCATTGAAAAAGGACGGGTTTTAATGGACACACGATATCGGTGATCGGCTGATGTGATTACATGTCCATGAAACGGGAAAATCGAGTTGCTGCAAAATTCATATCTATCGATTTCTTTTTTGACTAACTATGTTTGACAGAGGCTATATCCATCGTTCAGCTTCAATCCCTTCAATCTTTACCGACAATATAAAACAGTAATGTTTAAGACATTATCACATAATGCGGTTTTGCATGCAGCAATTTATATAATCGATACACACACATCCTACATATAAAAACCGCTTTGCTTGTACATAATATATGGAAAAAGATTTCTCACATAATTCATGAATCTGAAAGATAACAAAGAAATTTTAGCAAGTAGAATACTTCGTAAATATGTATGAATCAAAATCTTTGATATTCGCTCAATCTTATTCAATATGGAAAAGGCATTAAAAAAAAATGTACAGAATTTTTTGAAAAACATCATTTATATATTTGCATTTATAAGCAATTCTTTTTAAGCATGAAAGATCCTGTTTTAGTGTAATTTTCTCGATCTTATAATATTGCAATTTTTCTTTCCATCAAGTTCGCCCATGTTTAGTGTCAACACTTTATATGAAGCAAGATAAAAAATAAGATGGATAACTACATAAACTTCCTCTCTCTCTCTTTCTCTCTTTTTCTCCCTTTCTCTCTCTCTCTGTCTCTCTTTCTCTCTCCGTTTTCTTGTCTTACATTTTAATATCTATAGTCGAGATCCTTTTGTGTTGCGCGCAACAGGACAAGCTGTAAAACGCAATTACCTTTACGACTACATACTCGCTTTGACGTAGTACGCTTTGTGGTTGAGTACGTCGAGTGTACCTTTTTAATATTTTAAGTATTACAAAATTTTCCAAATTATGAAAATCAGAATTTTCTTCCCTTTGATTTGAACGACGCGGGAAGTATTGTTGAATGAAGTCTGAGCCATCTTTCATGTTAAAGAAATTTGTTATTAATATTTAAATAAACTGCAAAAAGAGAGAGAGAGTCTGCTTTTATCATTTGTTACTTTTCACATATCTGTGGTTTCAACAACAATAAATATTATTAATAATATTTCAATGTTAGTAATATTCCAAATTTTTAAAGTTATTTTTTACCTATATTTTTAATCTATACTTATGAACATTACATATATTGTTTTCATTTGGCTAGTATTAAATCTATCAGTCTGACTGAAAAGTTAGAAAGACTTTTCAATGAGCATTGTACGATTATCAGACGGCATCTGGTAATTGAAAAATCGTTTGACGACATTTACACCGATAGGAGAAACTCAACCGTACACCACGTACGTTAACGTGGCGTATTGAATTGTCGGAGGTAACTGAGTTTACAGGGAATTGCTCGTTCGACCGTGAAGGAATCGTATCGTCGCTCCCCAAGAAAGGACTAAAGTGAAACTACACCGTTCACGATACGGGATGAGAAAACGTGGACATCGCGAAAGGAGAAGCGTCAGATCGGACTAGAAAACCACATGTAACCACATATACAAGTATGTGAGAGATTTGTGTAAAATATTTCAATTTATTCTGGGTCGCGAGAGGTTGGCTGGCTCGCGACGCGTGCTCAGCGATACCGCATGTATATGTATGAACAAAGTCGCGCAATAATAAAACGTCACACTCAAAGCTATAATAAAAATAAAGCTCGACTACCCATCGTGTTGTAGATGGGCTTAGTTATGGAGAGTGGTGTTATACGCGATCGTGGTATTATGCGCCATGATAAAAAGGACCATCGTAATGGGAATGCGGAAATGCGCAAGGCAAAGAAAAACGAGAACCGACGAGAACTGTTCTGGAAATACGCGTGTACTTTTCTTTTAAATTCCACAGCAGGGAAACTACTAATGACAAAAAAAAGTATAACGAAGAGTTACGAAATATAACAAGATATAACAGAAGTCCGTTGACTGTTACAAACGTGCTGTATCTCACAGCATGGAAATATAATTTAAGATTTAATTGCCAATACGTAAAATTAAAATGGTTGATCTAGCAAGCCAGTTTTCATCTAAGAATTCTTTAAATCTCTAGGGATAAGTATTGAATATTTGCAACGTTTTTTTTTTTAAATTAATCAAGATAAATTTAAAATATATTCGGGATCAATACAGATTAATTAAGAGTTTAAAAATATCGAAGATAGAAATGTAGCATTAAAAGCTGAAATATAGTACTTCTACCTGCCAGAAAGATTATATATGGATAGATTTTTCAAAATATATTTTTTTAGCAAAATTAATAAAAAAAATTATTTTTTAATGACACGACGACATGCCGTCCCTAAAGGATTAAAAAGCAATTCTCTATGCATAATAAGAATATAAATCGAAGAAAAATATAACAAATAAAGACATTACTTCGATCAATTTCGATCAATTTCGAATGGTAAATTTTTAATTTGAAGATTAATTAAAAAGATAATATTAAAAATAAAAAGATGCAGGAAACCAAAAGATACGCGCAGTTCCAATATATTTCGTACAGTGCCAAGATGTGGATTTCTGCGGCGTGTAGCGCAGATCTAGGTTTTCATTGAAAAATCAGTCGATAAGATCGTAAAGCATCACATCGTATTTGTAAATTATGTAAGGTCCCCGCGACGTTGCGAAGGATCGTCTCGATTCTCGAGATGGTGCGTCCGCTTCCGATTCACGTTTTCGATGGCACGAAAGTTCCGCCCTCCTTGGCGCTCGTTAATATCGTCCGACGTGTAACGAGCATTACGTGAGTCGAATCGGTTCATCCCCTTTTCCCGCCCAGCCACCGATCTTTCGAACCTTCTGTATTGGATAGCGGACTATTAATCTGGCTCGGTCCAATAGTTCCCCGATATCAACGGAGAAAACTCTTCGTGGACAAAAGCGGTCGTGTCTACCCGCCGTCGCCGTCGTGCCTGATTTCTGGCGTGTATGAAAGTGTGAGGAACCACGCAAATTTAACAGGATATGACATCGTTAAGCGCAGAGCGAACAAAAGAAGCTCTAAAGTATCCTATCGTTATTCTTTATTATAAATACCTCTTTCCGTAGTTCCCATCCACATAATTTTTATAAATCTGCTTATAATTTTTTTCATATCTTTAATAAATTTCTTTTAGTTTACTATTGAATTACGAAATATATTTTCCAAAGTTGAAAAATTATCAATTTATTCCCAGTTATATTATGAATTAATATTCGCTCTTTGGTTAGAATTAATTTCCACGGTTTAACATACGTTTCTTTGATTGGAAATCGAATTATTCTGCATCAAGAAATGAAGCAGGTCACAATGGCAGCATATATATTCTAGGCAAATTTTTTAAATAAAATAGCAAAAAATAAAATAGCGTTTATATCAAATATCTTTGATGAATTTCAAAATAA